TGAGCGGAGGCGGCGGGGGTGAGAACGGCGCGTCCGGAAGATCCGACGAATGAGCGGCAACCACATGTGACGACCCCGGGCTGGACTCCGCATCGTCCACGGTAAAAGTTTATGTATTCCCTCAGCGACCAGCACGGATCAGCTCTAGACATGACGAAGCGGATATCGTCCTCATTTGGAAGACCAAACAAAGTAGTTTCGCTTTCACAACGAAGCACACAGCATCTTCACGACACTGCTACAGCGTCAACAATACTACAGTGAGAATAAAAGTTACGCCTTCTTTCGTTGCGTGAACATTTAGGCGGCGTTATGCAAATCTTCCCACATAGTGAGGTAGATATGTGGGGGCGTGTTAGAACGAGCCATTTTAGGTAGGTGTGGCTGACTCTGAACTTTTATAAAGAATATCTCTTTGGATTTGAGACTTTAGTCTTTGCAACTTTACAGATCTTCTTTCTGCACCAAGAGCTTGTAACACTCCAAAGAGAAAGGAAAAATTGAAATCACATCATATGACCCCTTTAAAAAGATGTCATTTTTGAAGTGTATGTGTATATATGTACTGTACATCACAGTAATATATTACAATTTAAAATAATTGTTTTCTATTTTAAAATGTCATTTATTTCTGTAAATGCAAAGCTGAATTTCCAGCAGCCAATACTTCAGTCTTCAGTGTCACATGACCCTTCAGAAATAATTTTAATATGCTGATTTGGTTGATTTGATTGGTTGTCCGTATTGAAAATGTATATGTAATTAATTCAGAACAGTGTATATACACAATCAGCTTTTTATGATATTTGATATTTTGATATTTTTGTATTTGCACTGTAATGGTTTAAAGATTAAAGCCAAAAGATTATTAATTCAGCGAAAAAGATCAAACAAATGTATTGCAACAACAAACAACAGCAAACAAAAAGCACATTACAAAACGTTAATACATTTCCAATATTAACACAATTGGAAAGGCACGTAAATTCAAAGAACCCATTCACATGACACCTGACATCTGTTTGTTGTTTTCAGATGAGATTTTTTTTTTGTGATGATTGTAGTGACCTCATCAGTCTGGATAGGTCGACTTAAAGAAGATCTGGAGATAATACATGACTTGGGGATCTCCTCCTTTAAGATATAAACACGGACACACAGACTCCAGTGTAGTTGAAATTATAGCCCAAATATATCCTGGCATGTGCTTAAGATGGTCTTTTGGTAAAGACAGATGGTGGGTCTTTGTAGTAAGACCGCTGAGTCAATCTCCTGGCTTTACTCTGATGAGCAACAACAGTCGTGTCAGATGTAATGCACTTCACATCTGAACAGTAATATACAATACGTTTCATCTGGGTTTAATGCAAATGCGCCCTTCGTTTCATCATGGTGATGCTGAAGCAACATATATCTATAGCTAATATTTCTAATAGAGATAAATAGGACTGATAAGACTCTTCAGGCATTATAGCTGATCTCAACACAAACTCCAGTCTCCGGTCTAGTTTGTCTAAATGATAAGAAACATATCTTGTTATTTAGCGTTCTCTTCACGCTATGACTGTACTATTACAATTTCCACGAGTTCGCTTTGCAGTCCCCATAATAAGCAGTCTACAGACATCCCTCTATCCCCAGACTCCAGACATTCTGACTTTTTTGGTATTCTTTTCTATTCTAATCATTACCAACATTAGCGAGGGGCCTGGTCAGGTTTATGCAGCATAATATCAATTGTACTTGTCAGTGAGCTCAGAACGTGACACATTCGAAGATGCAAATTGGCCAATCAATACTGTCAATCATTTACAAATGCCAAAGATGTGCAAAGCACAGTATAGCTTGGCTTTGCATGGGTCATTTTGTAAGATCTGACATTTGTAAATAAATAAATTCTAAACAGTGAAGGAACAAACAAACATAAGTGGTTAAACAAAACCAGTCGTTTGACAAATAAAGACTGGCAACCCTGGCAAATCTGGCAACCCTACATCTGTCCTTTGGGTCAGATAGTCTCAGTTTCTCCTTCCCTCTTCTTTACTCTTATACATCTCCTTCTGCCTCCACACCTCTCTCATTCTTCTCTGTCTGCTCTCTCAGTTTACATCTGCTCCACATTACACCAGAAGGCTCCCTGTCAATTCATTTCAAGCTCATCTGCACAGCTTTCTGAAAAAGTCTCCATCTTGCTATGACTAAGCTGAATCACTTTACCTGCAGGGCCTTTCAACACCTGTGTAAAAACCACAAAAATCCAAACAAAAACCACAAACCCTGCGAAATCACATGAATGCTGAAACACACTGTCATCAGTAATGTTGCAGTTGTAATGCAAATGCACCATTTTTTCTATATCTGACTAATGACTGGATATGACTGATTATGATCAGCTGTGATTGGTTCATGTGATAAATCCCTCCTCTTGTTTTCGTGTGCATTCCGCGTTTGCGAATCAGTCTGAATGAACATTATAATGGCGATAATGGGAAGACTAATTTAAAAAAGTAAACAACTCACACATTCGATATTTGTTATGTCAAAATAAGACAATAAGACATAACAAATATCCTGAAAACCTTGAAATGTCCTGAAAACATGATATGAGGGAGTTTTAAGTGAGTAATCAGCTTGGTGAGATTAATTTAAAGTAAATCTCTGTGTCTGTGACCAATATTTACAGAGCTTTGATGACTAATGATCCGAAAAATGTAAAAAAAAAAATGTTCAAAGTTAGCTATTAAAAGAACATAAGTTCATTTTATGGTTTAGCTGAACATAAGTTCACAAATAAAATATATTGTTTAAATTGTTACTGCCTTGAGGTATTATTTTAGAATAAATGCAAAATGTTTAAAAACATTAACTTGATTCATACTTGGCTTTAATAAATAGAATATTGATTGCATTGTTAATGTAAAATTATAAAAGTTTTTTTCCTGATAGTGTAAGTAATGTTTATTTAACCAAGAAAATGTGAATGCAGTATATATATATATATATATATACTGCATTCACATTTTCTTGGTTAAATAAACATTACTTACACTATCAGGAAAAAAACTTTTATAATTTTACATTAACAATGCAATCAATATTCTATTTATTAAAGCCAAGTATGAATCAAGTTAATGTTTTTAAACATTTTTGTTCTACTTATAATGTTGACTATTTTATATATATATATATATATATATATATATATATATATATATATAATAGTCAAGCTCTTAAAAACATGTCAAGACCTTCACATTCTGTTCCATAGAGTTGTGCTCCATATCCAGTTTTTTTTTAACACAAGAATGGAGTCATTCAGGCAACCAACCCACTGATTAGTCTATTTTGAAATTATATTGTTTTTCACATCCCTAGGCACTGTCAAAGAAAAAAAATCTCAAGAAAATGAAAATGTGTGCAGCGTGTTTAGAATTATGAAGACTAGCATAGCACATAGAACCACCTCAATATTGTCATATCCATATTGAAACAGTGACATTTTGAAGAAGGAGCAGATTTGCCTTTTACCTCATTCAATGTTCACACTTCAAATTCAGTCGATACAAATGCATCAAGCTCAGCTTAAAATGCCAATACCAATGCTCAGATAGCAAGGGCCAGGATAAGGCACTGAAGGATCATGTTATTAGTGGAATATAGAGGGATTTTTTCAAAATGCCAATATGCCAGAGAGCACAGTGTATATAATGTGTCAGCATTACACCACGAATACTGGCAAGCCAAACCAAAACAGTGTTTGCACATAATGAGACAATATTTCTTGAGTAACCCCTCATGCATTTTCCACTGGCCTCAAATCAAGCCAAGACTGTACTTGATCTCTGGTACAATTGGCAGGCTCACTTCCATTCAAATCCCAAGAGTAATATGCCCCTATGGCAAACGTAATACAATGAAACTTGGCTGACCTCAGCACACTGTAACCAATTACGGATGAGATCTACACCAGATGCTTACCTTGTGAGCTATAAAGCAAACATCAGCTGCTCAGAGAACATGCTATTAGGATCCTACATGATGATTATTTTCCCTAAACATATCAAATTCACTCATATTTTGAGTACTAGTGCTGATGTTCAGGGTTTGGAAACAACTTACATGTTTCAACTGCCATTTTAATGTCCCAAGAGGCCCCTGGAAGACTTAAACATACAACTAAAGAACTGAAGGAGCATGAAGGCGGTGAAAAACAAGATATCTGGAGTTAACTGGATGGGAATATCCCTGCAGCAATGTTTCTAGAAAGCCTTTCCAGAAGTGCTTAACAAGCATGGGTTTGGTGTTCGTGTGCCCACATACTTTTGGCCATATAGTTTTATCTGAGATATCAATCATGGCCGTGAAATATAGTCAGTTTTGGCAGACTGATGAACTGAAATTATCTTTAGGTCTGGGGGCAAATTCACTTTCATCTCAACATCAAAAAATATTATTCAAACAGACTGGCATGATAATTATGAGCAAAGAGTATGAGATTTGTTTAACTCTATTTGACATATCATAACAATAACTGATTTTCAGACCGCATTGTCTGATTCTGAGGAAGACAAGGAAACTGGAAGTACAGCAGGGATCAAGATATTAGAAAAAAACTGATTTAAAATCAGTGTACAAGTGTAATCAAGAAGGGCCGTATAGAGAACTACAAATGCCACCTAAAAATAAATTAAGAAATTAATTATTAATTCATTAATTCATAAATTCATTGTTTCAATTTGACATATGTATATAAATTGTGTGTGTGTGTGTGTGTGTGTGTGAGACTTATCGTTTTATATTTTTAGTAAATAAATACTAACATGATTATTAATTCCATCATTTTATTTTTAAAGGGCAGAGATCCAACTGAGCACCATAACCACATCCCAAATTCCCAACTTCACCTCATCAGGAAATACAATGACAGCTTTACACTTAGGTCTGAAGAAATTTGTGAAGTTTCATAGCTGAAGTATGACTGACAGGTGAAGCAAACTTACCGGAGTCTCTTGTAGTACTGCTTGACCTTCTCCAGGGATCCAGCATTGATTTGGGCCTGATATTCTTCCACTGACACGCTTTCTCGGTAATAATATCCCTCCATGCTCTCCAAGGCTATTAAAAAAAATTACGTGAAGCATTGGATTTCTTTCAGACGTTTAGCTATGTATCAGTTACTATTATTATTTTTTTAAAAGTTAAGGGTAGCTTCACTTTGAAAGAGCATAATTCAGCATTTTTGCCATGCTTCAGGCTTACTGTGTCCCATACAAACACACCGTACCTTGGGTGAACAGGATGGGGTAGATTTTGAAGCTACCACCGTGTCTTAGTCTCTGGGGTAACTGCTGGAAGTAGAATGCCTCTAGGTAAAAACAGACCTTCAAAGCCTGCCGTGTGCCCTCAACTTGGTATGAGATGGGCATGTCTGGAGACAAAGAAACAAAGTCATCAGCATGATGGAGTTTATGAATAAAATATTTCATGCAAACACACTGGTTCCAAGTGACTTTTTGAATACTGAAGTTAAGAATATAAATACTGCCACTACTGTAAATGTGTGTAGTTGTTTACATAAATTACATAAAAAATATAAAAATGTAAAAAAACAAAAACATTTCATATAAAATATAAAATACTTTTGGATAACATTATTATGTACATGTTCCACTAATAGCAAACAACCAGTAAGTGTCCAGATCTGAAAAATACTCATAATATTAATAGAAAAACACACAATTTTATGATTTAGATTTTTTTTTTTTAAATGGTGTAAATGTTTTGCCAGAAATATTTGATTTTGCTATATTCATTTAATATAAATCCTCATATCTTGAATGATATTTTGTTATATAATACAAAGACATAAATACTTTTTGGCTTGAGTGTCCAAATACCTTTTGGGGACACTGGAAACATTATTAGTAAAATTAGTTTTAGAATTGTGCTAAAAAAAGTAATTATTTCCTGTTAAAACAGGAAGTGCTTCTTCAAAGAGAACTTACTAGCAACAAGAGGCTCTCCTTCAAACTGCCGGAAATAGAAGGTGACCTTCTCCAGGTCTATGAGAGCAACTTGTGTGTCTTCTAGCATGGCCTGCTCATCCGTCTAAAGAAAAAAATGACATACTGTAACAAAAGTACAAAACCATTACTAAACTACATGTGTTTAATGAAAAGGCTGTGTTGAAGGTCTGATAGTATGAGTGAAATATATATAAAAAACGGGTGGGGGATTGTGGTGTGCTTAGGTGTAGATCCAAAATTACAATGATGACTTCCTGTTACAGACACACTGAGAAATTCATATTTTCTTCATCCTCCACTCTATTCATTTTAGTTCATCTTCTGCCTGCGTACACACAGTACGCCCGTGGCTGTGGATGAGACCATCCACATACAAATCTGAACAAGTCTGGTCTTAGAATCGTGGGACCTCTCCTCACACATCTGAAAACGACACCTCTGCCTGATATGTGGGCCGACTCTCTCAACATTCCGATGTGCCAGATGCTACAATCCTTTCATCTGGGGGCCTACAAAGCTGCCAAGCGTTATCATGTCAAGAAATTACCTTCGGGTTGCTCGCTGCCTGCTCTCCCTCCCCTGAGTGTGTTCGGGGGTGGATGGGGAAGAGCGTCAGTGCTGTGGAGATAAGACTAAAGTCTCAAAGGCAGGGAATCTTCATATTACATGTGGGTTTCATTTCTACGCCAACTCGGCCTGACTGCTTTGTTCTGACTACATACTGGATTTAAACATGACATACTTCATCAAAGCATCCTTTATCTCTTTATATTCTATAAATAAAAAAAATAGAGAATGCTCACCAATAGATCCTGCAATAGGGGCAAAAATAAGCCATTCGCTTAGTTCGCTGTTTTGAACAACATGTGGAAGAGTAAATGATGGCAGGGATATTTATAGGTGAACTATGGACAATAATATGCCCTCTTAATAAAACTTCTTCAGTCTCCACATTATGTTTAGTGTTTAAAGACTAAAATCAGAACCATCAAATGATCTTAAGACACATTCGTACTTCTCAATGAACTCAAAACACATTAGACACCATAACAAAACACTACTATTTTTCCTCAGCCAAATGTATTTAATTTAGCTGCATTTTCTAGTCATAACCTTGAGAAACGGTGTCTTTTTATTAAATTATATTTCCTTAAGGGGATTACAGAAGTCTCTGAGGGTTCTGCTCATGTGGGTAATTTTTCTCGAAAGATGCTGGACCGCTGTTGCAGGTGTGAGAGAAATGCTGTGTGGAGGAATTCTCAACTGAGTGTAATTTATTCAGGGTGACCTCAAAAGACTGCCTACTGTTTGGTGTGACAGATTATAGGGTCTGAATAAGTGTGTGGTGAAAAGACCGTACATGATATGTTCCTTATTTGTCATGTATATTTATAGTATTTGAATAATATGCGTAAGTGAATTTGGTTTAATCCACACTCACCTGTGTATTGCAGCAGGACCAATAATAGGCGCGTTTTCACCTCTGAGGGAATATAAAAAGCAATGTCATTCATGAAATAAGTTCATTTAAAAATCTGTTAAAAAATCTGAAAATGCATGCTTTGTGTTTGGATTTACTGCATTTAATATCTGGTTGAATGAAGTACATAAAATGCAGATTTATAAAAATAAAAAAAATCTGATTATTATTATTATTAATGAACTAAATATTTCCTTTTCTGCGGTATAAAGTGAAGTGAATATGAACATGATGGGATTTTTGCACTGAAATAATACAGCCAGAAGTGGCACAACTGTATAATGAATGTGATGCTGAATATTATCAATCTTAATATCCTTTGCAATAAAATAAAATAAAATTAAGTTTGCCCAATGAAAATTAAGTTTACCCACCAAAATTAAAGTTTTACCCAATGCTGGTAAAAAAATTCAATTATTCTTATTAATAAATGGAATATTTAATTTCCTTGTGTTATAGTCTTGTAAACATCAGACTGGACTATAATGTTCTGATTTTTGTTCATTTGTTTTTGCTGCTAATTCATCAGGTTTGGCATTTACACGTGCACACACACACACACATACAGCAGTGTAAGGAAGTTAAAATGCAGGAGAATGCTTTTTCAGCCTTTGCTGACAACTGACCTGAGGGAGTTAAAGCCAAATACTCACTCTCTGCCCTCCATAAACGCACATTTAACAGTGTGTGCTTGAAAAATGGCAGCATCCAGCCCTATCGAGAGCTGCTGGAGTGGTTGTTTTTGGCCAGGATCGCACGTATGTGGTGTGTGTCGCTTTTGAAACCACTGACCTTCTGCAAACTTGGCGATGGTGTGTGTGAGAGCCTGAACGCTGCTGGGCAGGTTCCACGGATCCTGCTTGACGTGAAGCCGCAGTTTCTTGGTGCAGTTGAGCTTCGGCTCCATGTCCTGATGAAACTCTGTCCAAAAACAATCACAGGATCATTGGAGTCAAACGTGCAGGATCAAACAGACAACTACACTAAACTGAATACACATTTACGCAGCACACAAGACCCTGTGGAGTAGGATCAGTAGGGACGAGTGTTGTAAAAATATATGATATATAGCTCCAATGCCCTTACAGTAGATGGCTCTGGCCATAAAAGGTGTCAACGCTTGTTACAATGGCGATGATAAAAAGGTATGGCAGTGGCACACATATGGCATTTCTCACACACACACACCTATCCACTTCCTGCTCCGTTCAGGGAAAAGGAGGGAGGGTGAGATGGGCTTACATCATTCAATTCGTCTCAGTGATTATATAATAATTTCCTTTGAGCTCTCTGTAGTGATGTAAAACATTTTCAGGAATCTACCACACACAGAGTAAGAGCAGGTCCACTACTGAGACAAACAGTTATAATAATAATAATAATAATAATATATTGTTTAATATTAGTTTATTTACATAACTTATTATTAGTAGTATTGTTATTATTATTATTATTAAAATACAGTATATTTGTATCCACATATTTATATTTAAACATCAAATATTTACATATTGCAAATATTTCTGTATTTGCATATTCAAAAAAAATTCTCTGTATTACTTGCATAAATACAATTGTCTTTGTATGTTAGTCTCAATTATTTATTTATTTATCCCTGCTTATGTTAAAAGTACCAAAATATAATTTAAAACATAAATTATTAAATAAAAAAACAACAACATTTGAAAAAATTTTAGTCAACTTGAGTCACAAGCAGAATAATACATTTTAATTACATATTAAAAATATGAAAAACAATGAAATACACATAAATAAACAATAAAATATGAATTAAAATACGAAATAAATAAAACAACAAAATCTACAATAATATATATATATATGTGATAAAATATTAAATATGCAATCAAATTAAATTAATTTAAAATATTTGTACGAGATGTTTATATGAGAGATATTTCTTTCTGATAAGCTTTGTATATGTGTAAGCAATTATGGATTTAAAGGGGCCTTTTTAGCATTTTAATTGTTTTTTTCACTAGCTCTAATAAGCAGTTCGGTTTCTGACTCTCAAATCCCATTTTCTTACCAGCATGCATGTGATAGCTTAAATAAACAAATCACATGCACAAGCACACAAATTATAATCGACTGTTAAAACCGTGAGGACTCCATACTAATCTGCTCATCTCCTTGGTGAACAACAGCAAAGCAGCACCATTTTGTGGAGGTATAAAACTAGATTCAGACCACACACACAGATAGAGCAGACATTCGCTGACTCATCACTTCATTTAAGATTTATTTCCCAGGCAAAGAGTTCCCTGCTTTCAAATATCACTAGAACAATGCCTACTGTGTTTATTAACCTACCAAATGACCTTGAGCCACATCCTGTGTGAAACTATGCCTTTGGGAATGAACTTTATTATCACATAAACCAGGGACTCAGGAGTTACTGCAGATTGCATTAAAGTTTGTTTCTACTGTCAACACAATGAGAGCTTCGTACATGGAGCTGATTATCTATCATTGAGCTTCAGGCTCCTTAAATGAAACATTTTAATGTTTAAAGAGATTAAATCATACCGGCTTTTATGGGTGAAATTCACTTGAAAGTAAGCATCACTATGTCCTACTAATAGAAGAGTGCACTTGAAGTAAGAACTCAGTGTTAATAATAAAAAAAAAGAATCAATAAACAAAATAAAATATAAAATACAAAAAACTATAGAATATAAAATACAATAAAAACAATATGACAAATAATACAATTAAATTAAATAAACAATAGAATTAGCAATAAAATAAAAATAAAACATGAATTAAACCAAATGAAATTTTAACAATAAACGAATAAAATAAAATACAAAAAACAATAAAATATACAATAAAATAGAAAAATATTAAATTAAATAAACAATAAAATAAAATGAATACAAAAAAGCAATAAAATGAAACAAACAATAAAAAATAAAATATGAAATAAAACAATATGATATAAACAAATAAAACAATATTTGTAAAATATACAATAAAATAGAAAAATATTAAATTAAATAAACAATAAAATAAAATGAATACAAAAAAGCAATAAAATGAAACAAACAATAAAAAATAAAATATGAAATAAAACAATATGATATAAACAAATAAAACAATATTTGTAAAATATACAATAAAATATGGTAAAATATAAAATATGTATTAAAATAATAAAATGAAATAATACATAAAATAAAATAAAATACAAACAACAATCAAATTTACAATAAAATATAAAAATATAAAATGAAATAAACTATAAAATAAAATATAAAAAAATACAAAAAAATACAGAATATAAAATGAAATAATTAAATTAAATAAACAATAGAATAATATGTGACTCTGGACCACAAAACCAGTAATAAAGTTTTTTTTTTTTTTTACATCATCTGAAAACTGAATAAAAAAGTGTTCCATTGGTTTGTTAGGATAGGACAATATTTGGCCGAGATACAACTATTTGAAAATCTGGATTCCGAGGGTGCAAAAAAATCCAAATTTTGAGAAAATCGCCTATTAATAGTCAAAAATTAAGTTTTGGTATATTTTTGGAAGGAAATTTACTAAATATTTTCATGGAACATGATCCTTACAGTATTTAATATCCTAATGATTTTTTGCATAAAGGAAAAATCGATAATTTTTACCCATACAATGTATTGTTGGCTATTACTACAAATATACCCGTTCTACTTATGACTGGTTTTGTGCTCCAGGGTCACATATGAAAAAAAAATGTTAATTAAAAAATTAAATACATTTTATATAAGAGATATTTCTTTCTAATAAGCTTTGGATGTATGAGAGCAATTAAAGGGGTCTTTTCAAATGTATTACACTACTCTACGAGTAATGTCCTTTTCAAGGACAAAACCGTCACAAAATCTAGAATGAGACAGAGGAAGTGACCCAGACGATCTCTACGAGTCCAATGTCCTAGTGTCCTCAGATCAGATAGAGGAGGTGCCCAAGACTATCTCTAGTAGTCTGGTGCTCTTTATCTGTCCGAGATAAAATGAATTGTACAGATTTGATTAAGATGATTTGTAGTAAAGGACAAATCTGAGGTTGGAGCAGTCAATCACAGAAACCTTCACACTGCTCAGAGGAAACCCCCACCTTTAGCCACACTTCCTTTTGCCAACAACCCTTTAAACATGAAATACAGGCCCAGATTTATGTCACTCCTTTTACCCTCTTCCTTCTTTCAGAGGGGCTATGCCAGAAAAAGTTCGAAAAAATCCATTGTCGGAGATCCCTGGAGATCATAATCTCATAAACATGTATAGTTTCTGAGTTTCAGCACACAAGTTAAGTCCGATTTAAGCTATGCAACCCATAACAAAAAGTGCACTGAGCCATGAAAGTCACTTTAATGAATATCGTCTGTATGAATAAGCCTGTGCCAACACAATTGACTTCATTAACATGAGAATCTCTCGATACCTTGAAGTCCCCGTCCCGGAGTGAAACACTTGGTCTGTTCAAAGGCTCGAGTCACAGTTGCCCCTTTCAACAAACTGGTGATGGACTCCACCTGAAAATGAGATCAGCACAAAGACATCACAGGAAATTAGTCTTTAATTAGCTGACTAAGCAAATGTGGACAAACTCAAGAGAATTTCTGTGTTTCTAAACTCAATCTCTTTGGTGCTTGTAAACCTAAAGTGCCCAAGGAGGCAGTCTGCACAAACAAAAGCCCCTTGAACTCCCACCCCATCAGCCGGAAAACCTTTGTGCTGCATGTGAACTGGGAGTGTTGTGCTCCCGGAAACCTGCGTGCTATAAACCAAACAGCAGCCGAGCTGCACATTCTCCATTTTACTGGTGATTGAGACATCCTCATTAAAAAGTGTGGAGACAAAACAGATTGATCTCTGGGGGAAAATGACCATGGCCGTGGTGCATTATGTGAGGGACTTCAGTCTGGTTTTAGGTGTCAAAGAAGCCAAAGGTGAAGCTAAGTCTTCTTGAGAGCAGATGGGATAAACTAAAAAGGAAGCTAAACCACTTTTGCATTATTTAATAAAACTGCTTTTTTATTTATTTAAAATATTTAAATAGTAAATAACTTATTTGTTCATGTTTATTTTACATTTATATAATCCTTAAAGTTTAATTTTAATATGTATTATATATTTAATAATTTCGTGACTTATTAATTAAAACATGGGATATTATTAAATAATTATTCAATATTACAATAATTGTGAATTATTTTTTATTAAAATATTAATGGGTAGTTGACATGACATTAAGTGACTTGTTCTATATGCTAAACTATTTTAAACAATGTTTTTATATTTTTTATTTAATTCATGCCATTTTTATGACACTGGATTAAATATAAAACGTACACTTCAATCACGTCTCACTGCCAGACCATTTAAAGGAGCTTTTTAAAATAACACTTTACAACAAGATTCAATTCATTAATAATTAACAAACAAATTATTTTTAATTCATTAACCTTAACAAATCTTTATTATTTATTATCAGTTATTACGGAACTAGGTATGAAAAACTAACAATGAACAAAATGTTATTGCAAGGAAATGTATAAATAAATTTAAATGTATGAATTAATCAATAGATCAACTAATGTTAATTTATACTAACTTGAAAGGTATATGTAGAAATAAGTACATTAGTACATATAGAAATTAACTTATTATTATTATTATTACCACCATTATTGGTAACCCTTTACTTAAAGCCTTTATGTATAATGCATTATAAAGGGTTACTAAAGGGTATAATGGATTATAATTATTCATAATGTGTGTTGTAATACATTATATCTTGTCATAAATAATTATAACCGAATTTAAAATGCATAGTGAAACAATGAATTGATAAGTGTTATAATGTATTAATTGTGGTTATAATTATTCATGAGATTGTATTATTTAAGGCATAATTAATGCATTAAAACAAATTTTATAATGCATTATACATAAAGGCTTTAAGTAAAGTGTTACCATTATTATTATTATTTATATACACAAAAATGGATAAGATATTTAAGATATCGTGACTGAAATGCTAATTGTTATGTACCAAAATACTGAAACAAAAAGTAGATTACATGCATGTGGATATAAAAAGTTTGTTGATCCTTACAGCAAACACACACCTGACTGAACAGATGCTCCAGGAAGCCGTGTAGCTTCTTCTGCTTGTCATGAGTTATCCATACACTGGTTGGCATCTCGTCACCTGTATGTGAATGATTGTGTGTGTGGGGGGGTCAGGGGGGGGGGGGGGGGGGGGGGGGTAACGTGGTAATCATTAGAGGATACCATCATTCAACACAGAGCCCTTAACACATTTGTTTCATTAGTGAGGTACTGCCATAACGATGCAAACAATTATCTCCTTCTCTCTCTGTCTTTCCCGTCCTTCTCTTTCTCCATCTGTTCAGTAGTTAGCATCAAATGGCCATCAGTTTGGCACACTCTGTATTTTGGCGGGTTCTGTTTGACTAAGTGGAAAATGCGTGCTTTATGTGCAGTGCAATGAGATAAGAATCAATCTGAAAGGCATATCCAAGCACTTGCCAAATTTGATTACAGTCATGGAGGATTTACCAGGGAGGTGAACTAACAATGGTGTTGTGGTGTCAGACGCGTGCAGGATGATGTCTGGTTGCATTACCTGAGTCCATCTCGTCGCTGTGCACGTAAGAGCTGCAGTGACTGCTGCAGATGCTGGTGAACGACGCTATGGAGTTCCTGTTGCTGTTACAATCACTGGAAGAAATCAGATGAAAGTGTTATGAACAAATAATATAAATACTAATACATGACAGGATCACAATGGTGCTGAAGCAATCTGTTAAGATCACAGCAAATTCTTCATCAAAATAAAAATATAAGATAAAAAAAATAAAGAATTCTTCTGAATTCATTCCTTTGTGAGATTTGGTGCAAATAAAGCTAGAAACAAAACAAAACAAAAGCAAAGCAAAGCAAAACAAAAAACAAATCAAAACAAAGCAAAGCAAAGCAAAACAAAACAAAAAGCAAAACATAATAAATAAATATAAAAAAATGAAAAAAATAATATAAATATATAATATGAATATACATTTAACTAAAATTGTTATTAAACTTTTGTCATGACATTACTTGACCAGAAAGAGGAAACTGACTGTAAAAGCAGACTGTTTATGTTGATGTCTGTTTATATAACACATACTTGTTTTGTGTTATGAATTGCTTTTAGAACACAATTTTGTGTGAAATCTGGCAGACATGATGTTTTAGAGAAGACACTACATCTAACTGTAAAAGTACTTAGTAGCTACTGTAAGACACATTACCTATAGGAGTCCCTGTTGCTGATGGTGTCGTGACCCGAGTCCTCCTGCTCATCTCCGGTCACATTAAAACACACTTTCTTCCCATTGCGTTCACTTTTCTCGCTCTCACTCTCAGCTGAAATGTAGCTCTCAGTGGGCTTCCCTTCAGACCCTGTGGGATGTGTGATAGAGGAGAGCAAACTGTGGGAAATACAAAGAGAAAGAGAGAGACAAGGAGAACCAGAGAGATTAATCACACTTTAATCACACTGCAATCTATGTGCAATAAAAGAGTCAGAATCTACACCTCCAGAAACATATGTTCATGACTCACATAAACAGAGGGAAAGACACATCACTCTACGACTCTTTCACAGTGAACCAGGGGTGGATAATACAATAAATACTAGCAGTTGAAAACACAATGGAAATAAGGAACAACATTTGGAATAATTAAAAAAAAGAAAATTTAATAAAATGTCCATCTGTCTAAGGTGTTTTCCTTAACTGACACATGTACACTGTAGCATGTACACCATAAGTGTATGGTTTGAAGAATGGATGGAAAAATAAAGTAAAATTAATTAATTAAAAAAATAAATAAAATAAAATGGCCATCTGTCCGAGGGGTTTTCCTCAACTACTGTATGTCACATCACATGTAGCTTACACTGTAGAATGTTTACCGTAAGTTTATGGTTTGAATAATGGATGGAAAATATAAAATAAATTAAAATAAAAAATTTTATAAAATGTGTGTATACTGCACAATATTGTGTAAATATTTATGGCACCTTTATAAAATGGAAAAGATTGTTTTTTTAATATTATTGACTAGATATGCTGAAGACACTACATGAGCTGAATATTGCAACAAATTTGAACATTATAGTGGGAGACATCTGTCCTATAACTTCCTTAAAGTCACAATATATAAAACAATGTCTAAAATATTTTGTATCCAACAACTGCTGTAAAAATGCAGTGGTACAGGAGCTGTGGTGACGGGACGTCTCCGTTCCCTCCTTCAGGGAACGAGGGTTACCATACGTAACCGAGACGTTCCCTTTCAGTCGGTCACTCTCGACGTCACGTCGGATGACGACGAATTGGTATCCTACCAAAAGGCCACAGCTACTGCCCCTTCCAGTGTCCTGTGGAAGCCACCTGCGCCCCTACTTTTTGGCGTAGGCCAGGGCTTGCACAAGAGGACCAGCTACTGCTACTATGGCACTACCCAATGAGTAAGACTGGATAACACTGGGAAAACGTACCCGTTCTACTTGGAACCGGGACGTTACGGAAGCTCCAACCTTCCCGAAGGAGGTTTCGGAAGCAATACACATATGAACATTCCTTAGATGCATATGGAAGAATGGAGGTGATTGTAACCCTCTTGGAATGGCAGAAGTCTGCCGGGCGAATCGTTGACTGAAAATGCGTGCAGGTCCCCTACCCTTTTGATGGAGGCCAATGTCAGCAGGAGCAAAGTCTTCACCGAAAGGAACTTCAGCTCAACCGTCTGCAAAGGCTCAAATGGGCCCTGTTCCCTGTGTTCGCACAACTAATCCTGAGACTGAGCGAGTATGAGCTAATCGTTGAGGTAGTTGAGAATGCGAATGCCCTGTTCTCTCATGGGAACAAAGGCTGCCTCCATAACTTTCGTGAAGACACGGGGCGACAGGGACAGCCCGAAGGGCAGGAAGGGCCTCGAACGCGAACCGCAGAATTGGCCTGTGGCGCGGAAGGATCGAGACATGGAAGTACGCGTCCCTCAGGTCGATCCCTGCGAACCAATCTTGGGGACGGATACACCTGAAGATGCATTTCTGCATGAGCATCTTGAACAGGAGCCTGTGAAGGGCCCGGTTCAAGATGCGCAGATCCAAGATCGGTCTCAACCCACCGCCTTTCTTGGGTACAATGAAGTAAGGGCTGTAAAACCCCGACCTCATATCGGTTGGAGGAACTGGCTCTATCGTGTCCTTCGCCAGTAGGACTGCGATCTCTGTAAGCAAGACAGGGGCATCTGCTGCTTTCACTGACGTAAAGTGGATGCCCCTGAACTTGGGAGGGCGCCGGGCGAACTAAATCGCATAGCTGAGCCTGACGGTTCAAAGGAGCCATCGAGACGGGCTGGGTAGCTCTAGCCAGGCTACCGGACACCGCGTTAGTGGCATCAACGGAACTACAGGTGTACCCGCAGTGGGGCAGCGCAGAAGAACGCAGGGACCCGGCCCGGGCGTCTCGGTGCCGGTCCGAGGCGGGGTCTGGGTGTGTGTAACACTGACCTGCGTTTGAGCAGAGGGTGCGTGGGTAGTCCGTTGGTTCGTCCTCCTGATCCGCCCACTGCTGCTCACTGGGGAGAGAGGAGGGTGAGTGTGATATGGCTCTGGATCGTTCACAACCCCCCGTCCCCTCAGGGGACCCAGAGGTAGAAGAAATTGCTCTTTTGTCGAGTACCACCACGAGGTCAGTGGCGAAAAAAAAGGAAACAAAAGATTCTCCGCCCGGCCCTCCTCCGGGGGAGGGAGTGGTGCGTTCACCATCTCCCGAAGAGCAACTCCCTCCATCTCTGGGTCACCCGTCTCAGGGCCTCTTGCTCTTTCGCTTACCACCAGGTCTGGCGGGGGCCTGGACGAGCGGGACGGCTGCCCTGCGGCTGGCTCTTCGGCGCAGTTTTGCAGGAGGCTGCTGCGGACGCTGCGTGGGGGCGGCGGCCAGGGGCATCCCTCGGCGACGAGCGGGCTGAGGCGCAGCCATCGGCGGCCGGATGGAGGCAGCAGCTGCACGCCGGGGCAGGATGTACCTGATGGCCTCAGTCTGCTTTTGGGCAGCGGAGAACTGCTGG